CAACCATTGACCCCAAATCTCAGCCATTGACCCCAAATCTCAACCATTGACCCCAAATCCCAACCATTGACCCGTACCATGATTGTTGACCCAAATCTCAACCATTGAACCCCAATCTCTGCCCCGTTCAGCCCCTGTGGCTCCTCTGCCGCCCCTCCGGCTTCACCTTCGGCGACTACACCATGTACTGGGTGCGCCAGAGCCCCGGGAAGGGGCTGCAATGGCTCGCTGGGATCTGGAAGGATGGTTCCAGCACCTACTACGCGCCGTCGGTGAAGGGCCGGTTCAGCATGGCCAGGGACAACGGGCAGAGCTCGGTGACGCTGCAGATGAACAACCTCAGGGACGAGGATTCCGCCACCTATTTCTGTGCCAAAGCTGCTGGTGGTGGTTGGGGTTGGGCTGCTGATATCAAACCATTGTGGGGTCCCCAAAGCTCCGCCCCTCAAACCCAAATCTGAACCGATGATGCCAAACGTCAAATGTTGAACCCACATCTCAACCATTGACCCCAAATCTCGACCATTGACCCAAAATCTCAACTGTTGGCCCCAACCTTTACCTTTTGCAGAGTTTGGGGTCAAGGGTTGAGGTTTGGGGTCAGTGGTAAGATTTTGGTCTATGTTGGAGATTTGGGGTCAAGGGTTGAGATTTGGGACAAAGAGTTGGGGACCCCACAAAGGGCGTCAGTGGCATCAGCAGCACCCCACCAACCAGCAACACCAGCTTTGGCACAGAAATAGGTGGCGGAATCCTCGTCCCTGAGGTTGTTCATCTGCAGCGTCACCGAGCTCTGCCCGTTGTCCCTGGCGATGCTGAACCGGCCCTTCACCCACGGCGCGTACTCGGTGTAACCACCACTTTTGCTGATCCCAGCGAGCCATTCCAGCCCCTTCCCGGGGCTCTGGCGCACCCAGTCCATGGTGTGGCTGCCCAAGGTGGTCGTTGGTCTCGACCTTGGGCTGGTTTGGCCCCAAATTCCCCACCTTTGGCCCCCAAACCCAACTCTTTGTCCCAAATCTCTGCCCTTGACCCCAAAGATCAGATACTGACCCCAAATGTCAACCATTGACCAGGAATCTTGATTGTTGACCCAAATCCCAAGTGTTGATCCAAATCACAGTCATTGACCTCGAATCTCAACCATTGACCCCAAACCTCAACCAGTGACCCCAAATCCAAACCATTGACCCCAAATGTCAACCATTGACCCCAAATCCCAACCATTGTCCCCAAATCTCAACCATTGACCCCAAATCTCAACCATTGACCCCAAACCTCAACCATTGACCCCAAATCTCAAAAATTGACCCCAAATCTCAACCATTGACCCCAAATCTCAACCCTTGACCCCAAATCCCAACCATTGACCCCAAATCTCAACCATTGACCCCAAATCCCAACCATTGACCCCAAATCCCAACCATTGACCCCAAATCCCAACCATTGACCCGTATCATGATTGTTGACCCAAATCTCAACCATTGACCCCCAATCTCTGCCCCGTTCAGCCCCTGTGG